CTGTTTCCTCTGAAGGCTGGGAATTTTTTTCTGATTCTTACCCTAAATTTATTTATGGCCAACTATTACGCATTTGTTCTTAAGCCAACACTGTCCATTAGCTTAAGTAGCACTTCTCCTTCACCCATGTCCCCCTTCAGTTCTCCCTTCTTTTGGCCATCCCCAAGATGCATTTGGAACGTGACTTTGCTGGGATAAATGAGTCAAACTTTTAAAGTCTCCTTTTGTGGCGTGGGCTTTCCGTTTTCTTGATGCCCTTTCTGTTTTCCAGTTGAAGTGATCCTGTCTGAGCACAGGAGATCACCAGTGTGTCTCAGCGGAGCTTTTGCCACTGCCTGCAGGCTTGGGCACACATTTGCTGGGCAAAGAGACCCGTGGCCGAAGACGTTGCCCTGCCCAGACCGATTGCTGCGGCTGCCCTTTGGGGGGTGCCCGTTCCCCGGCAGACAGACAGTCTGGGTCATTTCAGCAACACCTGCCCCGTTTAGCTGAGCTTGGCTGAGCGAAGAGCCCCCATGCTGGAGCAGCGCGTGCAGTCCACGCGACCACGGCAGCAGCACCCACTGCCGAAGAGATGGCATGGACAGCTGGGGAAGCACAGAGGTATCATGCAACCACAGCCATTAGCTCAGGGTTTGGGGGTGTTTTGCTTCTGAGCAGACCCCATGGTATGTGTCACTGTGAGGGACGAGGTGGGACCCCACGTTTCTTCAAGGGGCTGGATTCTCATCAGGTGTATATTAGTCTCCAGGCACAGGGTTTCTTCGCTTCTGTCAGTCATGAGCCAATATTGGGCTGTGCATCAGGCACTGTGCTTACCTGTTCTTGAATTTGTGCTTGCTGCCATTGCTAAAGTCAATTTGTGTCTTGTTACTCTGGCTCTCTACCTGTGTGTCAGGAACAGGAATCACTGTTCGCTTTAAGATAGCACTTAATAAAATAGTGCTTTGCCAGGCAGGCCAGCATTTTGCTTCAAACATGACCCTTTTTATGACCTCTTTTTTTTTTTTTTTTTCCAAAATGGAAATTATTACTGTGAGAGTCTCAATTTATTGCAGAAATAATTGAGCACAATATTGACACATTTTAATACGACAGCTTTCAGAGTATCATAGTGCAGATCTGACAGTTGCATCTGGCCTTACATCTCATTCTTTGCCAGCAGGGTAGTCCCTACTGTACTGCCACACTAATTAATCAGCTCAGCACTTTGTTGGGATCCTTGTGTGGATTTCAGTTTCACAGTTTCAGCTGGCTTGGCTTTTTAGCTGTAAAGTAACTTGACAATGCACATTTCCAAAACAAAAGACTGAAACCTAGAATCTCAACAGAATCAGATTTAGAAACACGTGTGCACTACTTCAGGAGAAAAATACGTGCTGTGACTGAGATCCATACAGCCATTGAAATTACTTATTTGTTGCTTTTGACTTCCACTTCAGAACTAGCTATGGGAATTTCTCCAGCTTTTAAGGTTAGAATGTAGAATGGTGGGGGGTTAATTTGTTATTTAGTATTATGTATTATTTAATGCTAGTCTTGTCTGTCCTAGCCTCATCTAATATCTGAATTGCTTGGGTTTGATTCTTTGTTCACATGGGTCAGACAAGACATAAGGAGTGTGGGGAGCCATCAGCCTGTGAAGCAGTCTCACACCATTTTTGTCTGCTCAAACTTTCAATCAAGTTAGATGGCACACCGTAAAATGCTGTCTTAATTCAAGTGCATTGTACTGTGTCTCGTGAAAGTTGTAGGGCAGAGATGACAACACATGCCTTAATCTGTGCGCTTCCTCACATGTATGTGTTCTTGCTGATCTTCCTTCTTGCTCAGATCAATAGACAGTATTTCTTGCACTAGCTGAGCTGCATGACTGCCAAAGGGATCACAACAGACTGCACAGATTTGAGGATGCAGCCTCCGCTAGATGGACTCTGAAATGTTGCAATGCGTTCTTCACTGCCCAGTTACAGGGGGGACAGTCACCACATAGCGCGGAGATACGGAGATACTGGCTTTTTAAGGTTTGTCCTGGGAAAGTGGTGAACACCTGCAATTCCCATTGAGATCAAGGAGAAGTGCAGGTGCTCAGCAATTCTCTTGTGGGTCACCTTTTAAACAAACACTTTTCACAAAATCTGAAACCTAGTCAGGTTTCTTTACAAGCAGTCACCTTTAAAAGCAGAATCTCCACTACCAGGCACTTTCAGTTCCTCTCATTTTCCTGGCGGTTTCACATTACAGGGATTCGTGGAAATTGAACAAGGTGAAGGTTGCAGTCAGTCCTGTCTAGAAGCAACCAGATATAACCTGGAACTGTTACGCATGCACCCCTGGGGGTGTTTTTAAGTAAATGGAATGAAAGCTCCAGGGAAAGTGCTGTGAGCCTTTCACACATGACTTTTTAGCGTTCTCTATAAAGTTACTATAAAATAAAAAGCTGTTCAAATGTAAGCTTATGTCTTCTTATTTTGTACAAGCTCTACTGAAGCAAGCTCTGCTTGCAGCCTCTTCCTGTTCTCTCCCCCATACCGATGGGGTGGGGGGCGGGCAAGCGGCTGTGTAGGTGCTTAGCTGCTGGTTGGGGTGAACTCACCACACCTGGTATTCTGGTATTTTAAATAATCTTGAGCTTAAGACACTGCTTGAAAAGGGAAAAAACAATATTGAGCCTCCCTCTTTAACTAGCGTCTTCCCTTACAACATCTTGCTTATAGTAGTACATAGCAGTTATGAAACACTTCCCACCTCCTTAGGATTTTAAAAGTATTCAAGCAAGTTAAAAGCCTACATCCTGAAAAAAAAAAAGTTTATGAACATATTTTTGTGTTCTCCTAAATTTCTGATTCATACATAAAAATGGATCTTAGGCTGCTGAGTTAAACCTCACAAAAATCCTGTTAAGTAGATAATTTATGATTTCCATCTGAGAGATGGTGAGGCTGAGGAAAACTTGTCTACTGATTTGTGCCTTTCTGCTAGTGCCAGATTAGCAGCTGTCTGTTCCTAGTTGCACTCAATTTCTTGACTGTTGTTTTACCCCATATGAAGATGGAGAGGTAAATGCTGTATTTGTTTTTGTGGTGGGAAAAGATGAAGCAGGGTCTGAAAATAACGGAGGGGTAGGATACCTAGATGAGAAATATTCATTAACTTGCACAACGCTCTTAGCCTTGCCCTCTCTCGTCAAAACTCGAGTCCTGCTGTTCCTCTGGGTCATTGCTGTAGCACTGTAATAGGGAAGAAGAAAAAAAGCTGAGGTGCCTGGGAATAAAGGGCATTGACTGGTGAAGGGATGAAGTTGCCTCCCCAACCTTAGTTTCTGGAGCTAAAAGAGATGGGACTTCTACTGCCATGTGTAATACGCTGGGAGGAATGAGAGGGCCAGGCGGTTTAAGGATGCATGAGCCTTTTCCACGTCTGCTGGCACAGAGCTGCAGTGGCTTTGGTTTCTTGTTGTGCTGATAACAGATAATGCAATAGCTGCCTGGAGGAGCATGACTTTCCTTGCCTTCAGCACAGCCTCTGCACTTGGAGCCAGGGGCCTCAGAGGGACGTGCCAGACGGGGAATGGATAGCCTGCCCTGCACCCAGCTGCAGCTGCGCAGGCAGCTGGGGTTATGACAGCTCACTCCACCTCTACTGCCCGTTCCCGGCTTTGACTCCTCTGCTTAGATCGTGGACTCTCCAGGGCAGACACGGTCCTGTGCAGCACATGGTGTGTTTACCCTTGGTGGCTAGGGTAATATGTACAGCTCCCAGGCTGGTTGGGGTTCCCAGGTGCCACAGTAAGAAATATTTGCTATCCTTGGTTGTACCGTGCATATGGTTATATGCTTAAAAAAAAAAAAATAGAAGGATGCTGCAGAGCGGTTTTGACCAAATCCTATAGCTTATGTTGGCAAAAATTGCAGGGCTTGGTAGTCTTCCTATTCAAATACTGACTTGAGTGATGCAGTTTTTTTATTAAAAGGTCTCAGTGTACTGTTGAAGGCTGAACTTCTTTCACGTCTGCTGTCTAAAATCCTGTCTATAGAAACATGGGCGTGCGGGCTTGATAGCTGTTCAATCAACCTTCGCTTCAGCAGTTGACTTTCAGGCACTCTATTTTGCAAGATTAATATCCTCTTCATAAAAGTAACCTTGTGTGCATTCAATTCTGCTTGCATGCAGATATCTGAAAGCAAGTTGAAAGTGGCTTTGCCAATATTACAAGCAGAATGGAAAAAAAAAATTCTTAAAATAGCATACAAAATACTAGCAAATATTTTCTGCACTCTTGATTTGTCAGGAGAGTGTGTGATTCTTTCCACATTAAGAAGGGAGTTTCTCAAACAGTTCAGCAGCTGAATGCCAGGGGCTGCGCTATGCAAAACACTTCCCCTTCTCAAGGCAGCTTTTACTACAGCTGAATAAACGATACAGTAGGTCTGCATGGCTAGAGCTGCGCATCAGCAGACAGCGAGGGGGAGAAGTTCAGGTGGAAGCTCTCTAGGGACAGTCAAAGCCATGTCCTGCGTGTGGTCCATGTTCCCTCCTCGAAGGGGCAGGTCTGCGTTTTGCAAGCGTGCGGGTAAAACGTCCTCCCTGTGCTGACACTTGCTTTGTCTGCGTTTTGCCTTCAGTGGCTGAGGAACCCAGGCCCCCAGCACGAGAAACGGACTCTCTTTGGAGACATGGTGTGCTTCTTGTTTATTACTCCACTGGCGACCATCTCTGGCTGGTTGTGTCTACGAGGAGCAGTGGACCATCTGCACTTTAGTAGTAGGCTAGAAGCTGTTGGCCTCATTGCACTCACTGTCGCACTCTTCACTATTTACCTCTTTTGGACCCTAGTAAGTATTGGTTTTCTGTTCAACTCACAGGAATAAGGGAATGAACAAATCAGAAAATTAATTACACAGAGTGCTGTAGAGCGGGTGGACCGTTGTACAAAGCATTGCTTATATTTACCTTCTGTACTGATAAATTTAAGTTACATCTGCAAAAAACCTCTTGGTTCTGCACTATTCAAGTTCTCTGGAAAACGAGAAAGACAGTTTGCTTTTGGGGTCAGTAATTCCCAAATCCCAAGCACCAGAGGGGACAGCAAGAGGGAGACAAGGAAGTAACATGGAGAAGTTCAAGACAGATGCTACAGGAGGCAGTTTCATCAAAGGTAACGTGCAAAAGGTTGAAGGCACAGTGCACAACAAAGCTTTAGGTGAACAACCTGGCTGCCATAGAGGATTCAGATTTTACTCTAATCCAACATCTGGCCAATTTTACAATTCAAAACCCTCAGATGTGGGTGCATCCCATGCTTACCCCATTCGTCGTGCTCGTGGCGCTGTGCAAAGTTCACAGCAGAACACACCTTACACCCAGGTCTGTAGATGTAGAAATGTAGCTGCCTTTGCAGTGCAAATTAAATCGCTGCCTTATTCCTGTCCTGCACCCAGGTGGGCTGTCACTTGCATGCTGATCCGTCCTAAAAGCCACTTGTTTTGTACCAAGTTGTTAAACTGAGATCCGTTCCTGACCCCAGCGCACCAACAAACAGTTGGCCCAGCAGAAATGAAGGGAACCCAGAGGACAGCTGCCAAAATAAGTGTTTATCAAGCCGTGGGTGGTCTAGCGGTTCATTGAAAACCCCAGGTTACTGTTGAGTTTGACATTTCACACCTCTAGCTCTGGTGGGGGAAGGAGAACAGAATAGTGGATGCAGACAGGGAGCATTCACACTAACAGGGTAATGCTTGTGCAATGGTGTAAGGCTGTGCTGCTGTGAGAGGAAAAGCTCATCTGAGCCTGTGCTACCTGAGTGGGGGCAAGACCACCCTGCCTGTGGTGCTGGCACAGCCACTAATCCTGCAGGGACAGAACCCAGCTCTCCCCTTCAGTGGGTGTGGCCACACGCGGTATGGCTGACCCCTTCCAGCAGTTTTTGATCAGTGTAAGCTGCTGAGGAGGTGGCACTTTAAGAACTGCATTAGTAGAGCTAGCCCACAGCAAGAAACCCCTATGCTGAACCCAGAGTAAGCTTGGAAAAGGGGAACCTAACAACTAGCTCCAAGAAAGCTATGAAAGGTAACGTCTCATTTACGTCATTCATAACGGTGAAACCCTGTCCCATCCATAGAGGACTGCA